TGCTTCCTCCCACCTGCCGTTATTTCAGTATTTTACTTAAAATATGCTTTAATTTATGCTGTTTGGAATGCAGTATGTATAAGATGCACGAAACTCACGTACTGAGAGACTTTCACGTGTGCTTTGTGTTTGATGTCCTGAAGCTCGATCGCGGCTGCGGTTAAATGCACTTACATCTCCGAATACTTTTATACGAAATTGATGTAAACACAGTCAGTTATGTTTTCAGAACAGGACAAAACATCTGATATGTGGAAATAGATCTGTGCATTAGTGTGAATGCAGTCTATTAAAGCTGCCAGTGTCTATGATCTCATCAGTAATAATCAAATGGCAATAATGCTAAGAAAAACCCATAACTATGATTATCTGTAAACTTTTGATACTTAAAGCACTCTTGATACTAAAAGTGCTTTTTGTTTATCACTTGTAATTGTCTTTTCCCCCCTCTATTATGTTATATATTTGCTTGTATGTTTTGAAGTTATATTTACTTTTAATTCTTAACAATTATTAATTAATTATATATTAATTAATTAACATAATTATTTTAAAAAGTAGCCTGCTTATATAATTTAATAAAAATGCATAAAATAAATTTGATATAATCGTGATGCATCGTGATATCGAATCATTGACATGGTAATCGTAATTGAATTGAATCGTGAAACCAGTGCCGATTCACACCCCTAGAAGATTTTAGTTGTTTTGCGAATATTACGATGTTGCGATTGCAGGAATCAATGCAGATTCAACATTATTTGCAGGTGATGAGATATCAACTACAAAACTATGTGGTTGAAATTTACATTGATACATAAAGAATGGATGATTTTATCATTTTGCAGATATTCCAAAGTTGTGCTAACAGGAATTAATGTGGATTTAACAAAAAAGCATGATGTTTAGTCATTTTGCGAATATTGTAATATTACGATGCTATGATTTCAGGAATCAATGCAGATTCAACATTATGAAAGACATCAAGAATGCAAGAGCCATAAATCCAGTCAAAATGAACATATGTTGAACTCTGAACCATAATCCCACTATAAACCTGCCATTCTAACCATAACTCAAACCCCCAAAACTAAAAGCAAATATTTCAACGACTCACCGTATGCCGTCATGGTGCCTACGTAAGGTCCGTCCATCACGCTTTGGTTCTCCTCGGCGAGAGCTTTGATATATCGCTTGCTGAGGTCCAATATTTGCATACGTAGTTGTGTGCTGCTTTCATGCGTCACCCTCTGCTGGATGGTGAAATGAAGCAGCATCATCCCCCAAATGAAGCCGAAACTCACCAGGAAGAATCCCAGCTTTTGGGAGGACAACTTCCACAGGTACACGGAGCCCATGGCGAGGAAGTTCGTTTGTGTGATTGTGTGCAGTGTGTGCGATTCAGGATGAGTTGAGCTTCATGATGTTTGAGGGGCGTGGTCTACTCTTTCCTTCCCTCACTGTAGTCCATTCCTTTTAGCGCAAGCTGTCAATCACACCAAAGACACGCCCACCAGATGTGCCATCATAATGAAGACACTGGAAAGAAAAGAAAAAGTCAAACAATTAAACAACAAAAAAGACGTAATTTTTAGGTCACATTTTTGCTGTAAAGATTTTTAATTGGCAGATGATAAAACTGAAAAAATATTCCAAAGAGGAGTAGGGTTGCTGCGATAGACGTTGTTGACAGTTTTACCGGTGTGAAGCCGCAACACCGGTTATGTCACTTGCCCACCGCGGCACACCCCCACTGTCTTTTTGATTTTTTATAGTAATAAAAATAATTTAGTTCAGTTAGAGAACAGACACTACAATTAAAACTGAACGCGGCTGCTCAATGCAGCATGCCGAATGACAGTCGCATCACAGATCAGATTTCATTTATCATGTGAGCAGAAGCTGACGAGAGTGAGGTGAGACAGACGAGACGATGGCAGAAGAGTTTCAATACGACACGCAAAAGCTCTCGTTTTAAAAATATTTTGGATTTTGAAAAGCCTGTTGACTTCTGACATTTATATTGGAAGTTTTTTAAACATTCATTTTTTATTTATTTGGTTCCACAGTGTTTGCTGATTTTTATTTATTTAAACTGTGTATTTTTTTATTTAACATCAAGTATGCCGCATCTCCAAGCTTTCCTATTCATTTTGCTAATAAACGTACGTTTCTTATTTATTTATTCTTATTTATTTGGCGCACAGTGCTTTTAAGCAATTTAAAAGTGAAGAAAATGAGGAAAAGAGGTAAAACTCAAACTAACTAAAAACAAACAACTGCTTGATGCCAAATTGCCGCTAATTTGAAAGTGAAAGTAAAATGTGCATGGCACTTCTAACACGGAAGGAAAGCAAGGAAATCATATAGGCTATAATATAATATCAATTACCGGTGTTGTCACACGTCGATTAACTGGTGGGAAAATTTCCTCATCGTCACAACCCTAAAGAGGAGCCATATCTAGAAACTATATCATAGAGACTTGGAGTTGGACTTCACTTGGGTCTGTACCCAGAAGACCCTAGCAACCACACAAAAAGGCCTAGAAATCACCCAGAAATGACCCTCAGAAAACCCGTAGCCACCCAAATGATCCTAGAAATGAGCCCAGTAACCCAAATGACCCATAAAAAGCCCAAGTAGATACTAGCAACCACCCAAATGACCCCAAACAATGCCCCAGAAGACCATAGTAACCACTCACATGGCCTAACAACTGCTCAGAAGACCCTAGCAGCAATCACTCAAAATGTAGTAATGACTCAAAAGACCCTAGAAATGCCCCAGACGACCCTGACAACCACCCAAAAGACCCTAAAAATGACAGAGATGACCCTAGCAAGTAGCAACCACCCAACTGACCCTAGCAACCACCCTAGCGTTGAAGAAAGCACACAGATAACTGTACCAACCATTCAGACGATGGCCAGAAGTGGCTCGGCTGCAAAGCAAGCAAAGGAAACTATTTTGTTCCACCTGTGCTGCCAGGCAATGTGACTACAGCTGTGACATCATAACAGATGACCGCATAACCAGGGTCACAATACGGTCTCTAGCGTTTCACATTGTTGCGGGACTAAACAGTGTCAGACGTAACAGACCGTGCCGTGGTATTTCAATGAGGGGATCGAGCCAAAGCAATGGATGGAAGCGTTAAAGCAAACCTTGACTGAAAGGCTTCCAGAAAATGAAAGACAAATAAGTTATTTTAAATGAACACAAATATACTTGTTTGCATTTGGGCACAGATTTAAATACAGCCAGCAGAAGGGGATGCCACAAAGCACAAAGCACAAAGGCTGAATACACAACAACTGTTGACATTTCTGATGCGGTTAAAACATTGATGACCATATAATCCCAGAATAACCAGTTTTAGAAACACTACAATCTCCTTTCTGACCTACCATATGCGACCTTTGATATTTACTATATTGTTTAAAGGGATAGTTCAACCCAAAAATTCTGTCATTAATTACTCACCCTCATGTCGTTTCAAACCCGTAAGACCTTCGTTCATCTTCGGAACTCAAATTAAGATATTTTTGATGGAATCTGAGAGCTGTCTGACCCTGCATAGACAGCAACGCAACTGAAATGTTCCCAAGTCCAGAAACGTAGCAAGGAGATCTGTAAAATAATCCATGTGACATCAGTGGTTCATCCGCAATTATACGAAGCTACGAGAATACTTTTTGTGCGCAAAAGAAAAAAAAAAACGACTTTATTCAACAATTCGTCTCCTCCGCATCACCCTGTAAACAACGTATGCTGTTCTGTGTCAGCTGCGTCACACGGATACGCTGTTTCTGTTCAGATCAAATCACAACAACGTAGGAAACAGATCCGGCGTGATGCAGCTGACTTGAGAACATTTCAGTTGCGATGCTGTCTATGCAGGGTCAGACAGCTCTCAGATTCCATCAAAAATATCTTCATTTGTGTTCTGAAGATGAACGAAGGTCTTACGGGTTTGAAACGACATGAGGGTGAGTAATTAATGACAGAATTTTCATTTTTGGGTGAACTTACCCTTTAATGAATGTTGCTAAAGCAATAAGCCACTCCAGGCCAAGGTGTGAAGCAGGTCTTACAACCCTATAAAAACCACTGTAACAAATACCCTTCTGTAGCCGTATAAGGATAAAAGATAGAGCCTAGATAGGTTTAAAATGTGAGATCATAGCTAGAATAAATGTTAAGTAATTTGTAACATATTGCCTTTAACGTATATATATTGTAGCTAGCAATACCTACACTGTAACTGATTTTTGTAATTTGAACAGTATTATACTGTAATATGTACAGTAAGACACTGTAAAATGTGTATACAGTATTGTTGTTAACAGCAAACTAACAATATTCATCGTGCCATTTTTCATGTCGGGAGTTGAAGCCTTTTTTTCTGACTGACGGCCGGAATGCCGCCAAAAGGCTGATAACATCGACTGCTGAATAATAATTCTACTTCCCGCAGGTTCCGCGCTTATAACGCGATGACATGACGGAATGCACGTACTTTTGAGTCTTGCGAACTCTCATTTTCTGTGTGCCCACAGATTCGCGACAAGGAGAGTGACAGATTTGAATAATTATTCAAGGAGTTTGCAAATGTGATATTGATTTAATACAACAGTTCAATTATATATCGGTTCAAAATATCGGTTATCGGTCTACTTGATCTGTAATAATCGGTATCGGCATCGGCCTTGAAAAACACATATCGGTCGACCCCTATTTCTAAGCACTGTCAAAGAGGTGTGCGCATGTAAAGACTGTGCTGATTGAGTGCAGGAGTATTGAAAGAGTTTATTTTTGCCACTTTATAGGCCTTGAAAGGTTAAATACGCACACTTTTAGGTGTCAAAATGCCCGTCTTTGCAAGTATCCTCGTCTTAAGTGAAAGCAAACAGCTGAGATAGAAAACACATGTGTAACAGTTAGGGCTGGACGATTTTTCCGATTTTATCAATTAATTTTAATTTAATGTTTTGCCACGATTTAATTTTTTTAGAAATCGAGGAATCACAATTTTTAATAGAAATATTACCAAACGTTAGAATTAGACAATATGCCAATGATAACAGTAAAGAGAATAGAACGATCCAACAGCATGTCGGCGAACGTGATTAAACGCTCATGTGTGACGCTCTTATCACTAGGCGCCATTCACACAGAATGCGCTTTTGTGTTGACAAAGATGCGAGGCAGGCAGTGGAATAAGAAAAACATGCAAGAAGACGGGAGTAAACTTCTTTTAACTTAAGCGCCGCATTTTTAGAATGCCGTTTCATGCACGAGACGCTACAAGAGACACGAGCACAACAGTCAAACATGTCCATGTTTACATAGAAAAAACTATGGAAAAGCAGTGCTACTGAATAAAAAACCTGTGAAGAACTACTACTGTATGTCTGATATTTCATGTTTGCATCATGGTGACAGACTGAAAGCTGCTGTTCATTGTTTTTACAGAACATTTATAGTTAATAATAGTGGTGTTATACCTACAGTCATTTGGAATTTGAATTACCCTGACTTTTGAGGTTTTTTTAAAGCATTTTCCTTGTATTATTTCTGAACATATACTATGTATAAGACAAGTTTGTACAAGATGCAGTTGTAGTTCATGCATCTTTTCTGCAACAATATTTAACAAGTGATTTGTTTAACATTTACATCGTGTTGACAACTTCATGTGTGGTGCACTTGGAATAGAATTTTCTTCAACTAGAGGGTTAATTTTAAAAAAATTTAATTTTCAGTTACATTTTCAAGTTGACTAGTTAAAAATCATAAAAAAAAAAAAAAAACTCAAGAATCAGTCACGTTCTGAAAAAACAAATAGAGATTTACATTTTTTTTGCCATATCGCCCAGCCCTAGTAACAGTATATTGGATATGGGCAGCTCTTAATGTGACAGCAGTCTAATATTTCTGCTGTCTGTCATTCATGTTAATCAAACAACAAAAGAGAGAAAATCTCTTACTGCTCTTGACTAAATCTCTTTAGTAACTTTAATAAGAAGAAATATATCATTTACACAGTGAAGAATAGGCACTATTTTTGGTACATTTGATTACTTTATACAATGTGATTACTTGATTACTTTTTTGTTGTTGTTGTTCTACTTTTTGTCCTATTGTTTGTAATTAGTTTCTCATTCTTATGTAGGCCTAATCACTCACTGTTTACTTGTTTTCAGTAAGCTTGAGTTTTTTTTTTTTATTTAGGCTAGTATTCCTTTTTTGTGATATTGACACTGGTGACAAGAATTATGAAATTTCTATGGTATCAAAAATGTTGAGATCATAAAGACCTTATTTAATACAAAAAATAACTATATTGTGATTAGGGCTGTCAAAAAAAAATTGAATTTCGAATATGCGTTGAATTTAAAATAAAAATACACATTCGAATGCGAAAACGTTGCATTCAAATTTTAGGTGTGCGTTAAGGAGGCAGCCTTATAAGTGGCGCACAAGATGCGATGATGATGTAAGTGTCACTGCATTTTAATGTTTTTGTTAGCCTA